AGATGAGACGATAAATGCTTTGAACATTTAGATCAGATCCTTCAGTGGGGACTCTGCCTCCTGCAGTGGTGGATTAGGTAAACGAGATCAACCTTCCCGCTTGGGACAGCCAAGAGACGGATGAAAATAAATTTGTTTTTTCATCTTAAAAACATCAAACCGGCCAAAACACAGAAGGGGAGGACCTGGGGAGGACTACGAGATGGCTTTGTCCTCAGGGTATTTATGTGTTCTGAAGAGCTGGAAGACTGAGCTGACTTTCAGTGGCCTTATGGGGCCAGAGGAACAAGCTCAGAGTCCCGAGAACCTCGGACTTGACTTTGAATTAAGGTCTTCCCAGACAGAAGCCTTCGTGCCTTCCCCGAATCTGAATCTAGGTCTTCCATGTGTCTCTGGGCCTATGGCAGAGGCACATGCATGTCTTCTATCATCCTAAGGCCTCACATTTTTCTTGCAAAAAATTTTAAAAATACAATCTCCGACGCACACAAGATAACTAGGCACACAAGTAAGTAAGACACTGTGATTGAAAACCATCAGAAACACACCCCAAAAAACTGGAGATACCGGAAGTATCAGACACAAACTCAAACGCCAGCTCATCTGATCTCCACAATAAAGCTGAGTGGTAGACACTGCTATTATCTCCACTTTAAAGATAATGAAACCGAAGCTGAGAAAGCTAGTGATTTGCCCAAGGTCACGCGGCTAGTCGGTGGGAGAGCTGTGAGTCAACACGCGTGGCTGCCTCTGTAATCTCTGCTGTTAAAAACGTACTACGTGGTGGGGGGGTGGGGGCCTTAGAAAGAGAAGAACTAAGGAGAAAGGTATTTGTGCCTGGCGTGCCCGCCGAGGTCCGGGTGGCATGATGTCAGAGGGGCAGCTGCCCTTGCACCAAGCGCCACAGCATTTCAGTGATGGGAGTGGACAATGGAGATGTGCCTGGGGACCGTGGGAGGGGACACCTGCCCAGCCACCCACCCTCTTATGTCAGGAAGAGGCTGGTGGAAGATGATGACCAGGCAGCACACGAAGGACGGAAATACCGCACTGGTGGGAAAACAAGTGGCTTTCTGGATGACAGTCTGGAAATAGCTGTTAAAACGCAAGATGCTCACACCCTGCCGCCCAGTAATTCCAAGGCCAGTAATTTATTTTGTAGCTAGTCTTTCCCAAGGGCGCACTGGTATAGGTGTAAGGGTGTTTGCTACGGCGTCATTTACCAGAGTGAAGAACTGGAAAGCCCAGGTATCCACTCTTACGGGGTGAGTTTAAAAATTAAGGTATATCCATACATGTCGTAAAGCTGTCAGAAAGAACGAGGTCGATTTTCCTGTACTGCCATTTCTTTCAAATGTCTGAAATATAGTATTAATTGGAAAAAGCAATTGTAAAACTGCCTATTTTTTACCATTTCAAAAATTTCACATATATACACACATGGAGGCATGTGCAGGTGTGTGTATACTCAGAAAAGGTCTGAAATACAACTGGAACGAACAGAAAATCAGGGGACTCATTTTCATTATTTACGTACTGTTTGAACATTTTATAACAAAAACGTATTACTGTATAAGCGCGCGTGTGTGCGTGTGTGTGTATTTTTATCTATTTATATGCCAGTAAAGGGCTGACATGACCACCTGCATCATTGCAATGGTCTCCTGACTCTTTGGGTCTTTATTTGACTGACTTTCCTCAAACTCCCATATCCACTCTGCAAACGACTATCAATAAAGAGTTTCCTAAAATACGAGTCAGATCATGCTACCTGCCCTGCTAAAAATGCTTAAAGTCTCACTGCCCCAGGGATGAAATCTGAATTCTGTAAGGTGCTCTACCAGCCTCTCCACGATTGGCCTCTGCCCCTCGTCACGGCTCCGCCTTGGCCTCTGCCCCTCGTCACGGCTCCACCTTGGCCTCTGCCCCTTGTCACGGCTCCGCCTTGGCCTCTGCCCCTCGTCACGGCTCCGCCTTGGCCTCTGCCCCTTGTCACGGCTCCGCCTTGGCCTCTGCCCCTCATCAAGGCTCCCCCTTCCACAGCACACTCACCCCCCCGCCTCAGCCACTCCCTCGTGTGTCCCAGTCATACGGCACAAACCACTACTTCTAGCTCCTGTCTTCCTGAAATGGCCTTTGCCTCATACACCCCTCCCCTTCCCCATTCACCCCGACTTTTTATCCAACTGACTTTATTCTTTAGATGATGTCACTTCTTCAGAAAACTTTTAAGATTGGTGTTCTGAGAGGAATACCTCTTACGTATGAGGTAATGGCTGGCTTGTAACACACAGTGGGCCACGTTTCGACTTCCTGTTTACGTGCTCTTGTCACTCTTTGGTCAGTGAGGACGGGCATCTATCTCGTTCACTATCACCTCCCAACTCCTCACACAATGCCCGACGAAAACCACTCAACCAACGTTTGTTAGGTGATTAAATGAGTACGTATGACACATTCACATTTGTCAGATAAAGGGCTTAAAGATACAGTCAAGCTGAAGCTGGATAGGTAGCCATTCTCTGCCATCCACGTGGCAGGTATGATTTGGGGGGTACTCCAAAAGACCTGTAACCCCCATTTCACCCACGCCTCCCCTTCACCGGGTGAGCTGCGACAGACCTCGCATTCACTGGATGTCAGTCACCGGGCGCTCAGGCATTGACGCGTTAGGCCTGCGTGGTGGACGGCACGCACTCGCACTCAGCTCATCCTCTGGCTGCTCCCAGCAGAGAGCCCAGCACGACAGGGAGCTGCTGCTTGCGGGGTGACCCAGAGGAGGGAAGGGATGACCCTGCGATGAGGGACCGGAGTGGGTGCTGGAGGAATTCTCCGTGACCCACTGTCTGCTGCATAGGTCTGCCTTGGGCCAGCCACGGGTGGAGGGGTAGGTAAAGGAGAGAGCGGGGTGCTCGCTTGAGCAGAGAGGTCAGTGGTCAACGCGCCGCCAGGCCATTCCTCTTCGGCCAGGGCTCTGCTTCTGGGGTGTTGGAAGGCTATGTGTACATTGTTCCTGACCCCCTACTCCCAAGATGTGCCACAGCAGCGGCAAGATGAGCTTAAAGACACTGATGGTTTAGGAGGAATCTCATGCCCTTCTTGAAAGCGCTACAAAGGCAAAGCTGGGAACCTGTTCCAGACCACCCTAGCAATGGGGACACAACTTCGATGCACAGAACGTGACAGTCGGAAGGGTCTCGGGGCCCCCCTCACCCTCCGCCCCGCGCGGCATCACAAGCCACCACAGCCTCTTCCTCCGCGGTGAGTCATCTGCCGGCAGTGCGATTCTTAAGCACGGATCTTGCTGTCTGTCTTCTTTCGGGGCTTGGATGACTGCAACGGATGTGTCCCTGCTCAGCCCGCTCAGCAGACAGGACGCTGTCTGCGCCCGTGAATCGGGGCTGAGGGCTGACCTCGCTGGGCTGGGCGGCCCCGGCCTGCCATGCTCTCCATGAACTCACAGACTAGCGAGGAGGAGAGGGCCCAGTGGGGCTGCTTAAAGGGTCTAGACTAATTCAGCAAGCACGGGGTCTTAGTGGCTCCTCTAAGACCCCCGAGGTCTCCTTTCCTGTGTCGTCAACCCTCCTTTCCGGACAAAAGAAGAGAAAAACGGACTCACCAGTTCCCAGACGAAGGCTGAGCCAGCTGCGAGGTGGGGACCCGCGCTTCATCAGACCTGAACTCATGCTTGACCTCCGGGGTGCTGGCACCTTGCCTGGCCCTCGAGCCACGTGCCAGATCCACAGGTCTCCGTCCCTCTGCCCGGCTGCAGTCCCAAGCACTGGAGAGCTTCTCCCAGACTCAGCCCCGGTCTTAATTTCTCCTGCCGAACCCGTCTGCACAGAAAAACCGCGGTGCGCTGGGCCCAGCCAGCTGGCTTCCCCTGGACGCAGGCCCCCGGGGCGCTGTATATCTCAACGCACGGACGCCGTGGCCGCGGTTTGCACTGCGTTTCCCGGCCGGTGGTTCTCTCCCCTTGGATTTTCCATTCCCAAGTACCCATTCGCTCCCTGGAACAGACTTCCCGCACTCCTGGCTGCCTCCCCCCGCCTTTCCCAGAAAGCAACACCACGAAGACCCTCGTCTCTGCCGCCCCCACGGCCAGCAGCAGCCCCCCAGCTGGGCTCCCTGGCAAGGAAGAGGGCCTGAAAGTGTGGTGGCTTCTCGCTGCCTGGCGGGCAGTTTGGGAGATCAAGCGAGTTCCAAAGCATTAGGAAAACCCAAGCCACAGTCTGCTAAGCCCCACAGTGGCAGCGGCATCGCATCGGGGGCCAGTCTCCATGGCAACCTTGGGCTTCCCAGCCCAACACATTGTCTGCCGGCTCAGCTCTGTTTGCTTACTCAGCTCTCGGCACTTCCAGATTGGACCTGCCACCCCCACCCACCAACCTCCCCCACCCCGCCACCAAGTGCGTCCTCGCCTTCCAGACGGCACCCCCAGCCCACCCTCTGCTCCACTCTCTTCCTGGCACAGCCTCTCTGCAGAGGCCCCGAACATCACGTGGCTTCTTCCCCCTTACGGCACAGATGGCCCCCATATTTATTTTAGCCACTGTTCAGGCTCCGCTCGTCAGCCAAGTCTCGCTCCTCGGCCAGGCCCAAGCCCGGCAGTGAGGACGAGGGCTGGCTCACACTCGCTGAGAGGCAGCGACGGGCCCGGACCCCAGGCTTTCCCCGCTTAACTGGAACTTTTCTGGAAGCAAAATTTTCTCTTTCCTTCTAATACTGTCAAAGACGGTCCTAAAAGGATAAGCATCCTCCCTCAATTTACACACATGGTCCAAACGGAAAAATTAAAATAAGTTGCCACTGCGCTCAATACTGAAGTGGAGCAAGGCGCAGGCTGCTGGGGTTCCCTGCTCTCCCCGCTGTGGCACCCAGATTTCGCTGACCCCCTTCGGATGGTTTACTTTCCACAACGTTTCTACCATAATTTCTCCTAAGTACTGAAATAATTTCCTGGAATAAAATGGTCTACGTATGTAATGAAATCACAAAAATTCACATTCTCAAAAATATTTAATGATAGATTTCACGTTAAGTAGAAGAGCTGGATAGAAAACCATACCTACAGCAGGACACCAATTCTGTAAAATATCACACATGCAACTGAGCAAAATACCAGACGAGTCGGCATCGCAACACTAGAGATTATCCACGTGGCGGCGACCTCACGTGCGAACTGCTCGTACAAGTGGAAAAGCAGTAAGCGGAGGACGGGTGAGCAGCGGGGGGTGGGGGTGGGGGGTGTGTGGAATCTACTCCCCCGACCCCTTTAGCCGGACACTCGGCTGGAAGAGCAGTTTTAAGGTGAACCCTCCTGGAGGCAGCACGAGTAAGACGGTCTCTGACCCAAACATTAAGCGTCTGCTTCGTCCCTGCGTGACTGTGAGGGACACGGCCGTGGCCCCTGCCTTCCACGAGCTTCCCACGGAGCCGGAGACCGGCTGCAGCGCAGTTACTGCTGCGCCTCTTGCAGCCACCCTCATGCACAGCCCACGCGGGGACCCCAAGGAAAGAGCTTTTGCCCCACCTTAAAGAAGGGACAGGTTCGGGTGGCCCGGCCAGGGTCTGAACTCAGAGGTCCAACATCGACGCCTGCTTCTCACCCACTGTTATCACAACCAGAGCTTCAAAAAAAAAAAAAAAAGCCAGTTTTTTAAAAATTCACCATCTGTACCCATGTCACTTGGTCCCCACACTGGCTGTTGGGCAAATAGCTGTGTGTCCAGCAGGTAAGCAAGCACATTTCGATTTCTCAAAAACTATAACCCAAAGCATGCGACGGGCCAGCTCAGCGGCCCCTCTCCGCTTCCTCAAACCTTCAGTTTCCAGGCTGGGGACTCAGCGGCACACCGGTTCCTGGTCCCCGGGCCTAATGGAGGAGAGGGGACAACCAAACTGACTTTGTTTACAAATAAAATGAACCCTAGAATTTGAGAATCTTGTCAATTATTTCGAATCTACCTTTCCTATAAACATATCTCTTTAAAAGAATCATGAGATTGGAAACTTCAGGTTGTCACATTCTAAGTCACATATTTCTTTAAGTTTTTAAAAATAAGCATGGGCTCCTTTGGAAGGCATAAACAAAAAGGGTTAAGGATAACGCCCATGCGGAGCTCCTTGCTACCCATCCCGAACCTCAAGACTGTCAAAATCGCGAGCCACACCACCAACACTGGCAGACGCTGACACTCCGACAGCGCTCCGGGACAGTGGCCATGCTGCTGTCCACCAGCGCACCCTGCAGCTGCCCGCGGCCCGGAGCCCACATCTTGAGAAAGGCCTGCACAGGCTCCTCCGCCACCTCTGGCCCAGTCTGGCCGGAGGACCAATGCTGGCTGCGCCCTCTAGTGGCAACGTCTGTTTCCAAAGAAAGGGCACCCTTAAAAGCCAGCAGGAAATTAAAGCCAAAGCAAGTGCCAAGGCAGCGGTTTCACCGTCACTCTCAAAGCGACAAGCCTCACTCTCATCTGAGGCTTGCTGCTCATGACCTACAGTGACTATCATTACAAAGATACAAGGTACTGGGGAAGGAGGCAAAAAGTTGATGGCAGAGGACTGTCTGTTAAAACGCTTTGCGAGGCCAAGATAGAAACACGCCAAATAAAATTTACATATAAATAAGAGGCGACTGAGGAGTCAGACTTGAAATGGTCTGTAGGGTGTGGAAACTCGCCCGGAGGCTGATGAGGGCTCCTGTGTGAATCCCTAAGTCTGGGGGTCTACAAGATGCTGAGTCAAGACAATGAAAACCAACGATTTAAATGAACATTGATGTTAAACCCACACATCCTAATGACTGTCCTTCATCGCGATCTGCTAAGCAGCTGGAATTCACGCCGCCAGTCCCAACCGCCACCTCGGTCAGTCAGTCTCTCACCATCTTCAACGCAGCAATGACGTGACCCAGGCTTGTCGTCCTTCTTCACCAAAATCACTGCCAACCTCGCAGGGCACAGAGTCATCACCACCAGGGAGAAGACGAAGGACAGTGCTCCGTCATTTTTCCCCAAGCCGTCTGGGAGATGGCATCACCACCAGCCTCCTGTGCCCTAGGAGAAAGGCCTAGACGGCCCAGTACAAGTTCAGGTCCAGCCGCCCAAAGACAAGAACAGGCCTTTTTCACGAGCTGCTCCTTCTTCCAGTCCTTCTTCCAAACGGCCTAGTGCCAGCTCTGCCCAGGGTGTGTCTTCAATCTCAGCTGAGAAGTCGATTAGGACATATACTGTTTTAAAGAGGGCCCAGGAGAGAGTTCCTGGATTTGAGAGCTTTTTTTTTTCAGCATAAAACTACTGGATTAAAAAAAAAAAATGGAGTGCTCTTGAGTCCAAATTTTCATCCATTAAACCTTGATTAAATTTAAAGACCAAACATGATCTTTTAACACTCGACCTACAGGAAGGAATGGAAACGAACTCAGAGAGCATCACATGATCAGGGGATGAGAACGACCACCAGGGCTGTGACCACCTCGCAGACAGATGCCACTGCTGGGGTCTCCCGCCTGTCTGCCACCACTGGGCGAGGACCGAGGTGCGTCTCCACGCCCTGCTATGCTTGCAGTCCCGCTGGCCACCCTTCCTTTGTCCTTGGTACATTTTTGTGGCCCCAGTCTCCCTGTTCTTATCCAGATTCCATCAATCAGGTTCTTGAAGAACTTCTCTGAGAAACTGACTGTATTCTTCCTGTTTTAATGGCTTACAACTTTCCTCTGTGGTTTCCTCTCTCTAGAAAACATCAAGTATGACTAATATAGCAGACCAGGGCAAAACTCTGGGCCACGTGGCTTTACGAACGGACTTAGATTTACTATAAACACAGCCACGAGTGACACAGGACACTGTTTGCTACGTAAGGGCACCATTCGCGGCCACAAAACCCCATCGGTCTGCTGACACCAGGCTGGAGACAGTCAAGCTTTCTGGTGGAAAAGCTGCTTCCCTTATTAAAATCATCAGTTTACTTTTCGATAGAATTTTGGTTTTGGGTGTAATCTCTCTTGATAGGTCGCCTCAGTTTCTCTTGCTCCAACTTTCTCTGATGCTCCTGGAAGTTTAAGATTATAATCTGTCGTGACGTAAGGTATCGTTCCTTCGAGCCCACGCTGAAATGGAAACAGAAAATACATGGAAACGCTCCAAGTCCAGCCAAACGTTTCTTCCCCAAAAGACAGCATTACGAGTCTGAGTGAGATCCTCTCACTTAAAACTCTTGGCTCTCCTTCCCTCAAAGGGCCCGCTTAGAGCTCTGGCTCCGGTACAAAGGTGACTGCCACCTTTGTGACTGCACGACCGTGGGAGTTTCCCTCTCAAACAGGTAAGCAGGGGGGCAACATCTACGCCTCCCAGGCCACCCGCGGGCCCTGTAGTTTGGCCTTGGGGCTACACGGATGCCCTTGGCCAATATGACCTTCCCACAGGCTCCCCTGAAGACCATTCTCAGGAGGGGGCGATCCTGGGGAGGCCGGCTCCACTCTCCCCCCTCAGATGCCCCTGGGATAATGGCTCTCCCACGGGGCTCCTGTCCACAGGCAGGAGGGTGACTCACGGCCTGCCTTAGCCACCTTGCCTGACAGCCCACCCACTTCGTTCCACCTCTACAACAAAGCGTCAGGCTCCCAGTCACCCGTCCCACGACTCCTGCCCCATTTCAGGTCCTCGCTCTCTGTGTACACTGCCAGCTGCCTCCAGGGCTGTCTGTGGGAGCCGCACTCACCTGGCCCTTCAAGACACACTGTGGAATGGAAACGGCTCCGACCAGCAGACAATTCACGTTTCTTAGCTCTTCCGGGGGCACGGGAGTGAGGATGTGGTAGAGCCTCTTCTCCATGTCAATCCCTCTACAAATCCCTTGAAGACACGCAGAAATCACCCTTTCTGGAAAACATCCCCGCCTCCCCCACTCCGAACTGCAGAACGGCTTTTAAAACAAGAGTTTCCATTTCAACCAGGTTTTGCTTTGAAAATACAAAGTACCAAGAAATGGAGTACGTGATTATCTGAGGGCTTCGTACCCTCCTCCTCGTTCAGCTGTAGGTGCCAATGTGGTCTTCACTGCCAAGTCCTAGACTGACGCAGCTACAGCACGCACAGGCCAGGGAGAAGGCCCCCCGAGGGGACACAGAGATGACTCTGTCTCCCCCATCACCAACTGTGTCTGTACGAAGCGACACAATTTCTGTGGGAATGCTTTTAAGCACAGTACTGTATACATCAGAAATGTGTATTTAATTATTGAAGGGTTTTGCTAGTTTGAGGTCACACAGGTCCAGAAACATCCACCGATGTTTACCGACCTCGGTGAGGCAAGGGAACAACCACAGGAGGTGGGCTTGGTGGGGGCAGGAACCCAACCCTGCTGGGCACGGCCAGGCCCTGCCCACATGCTGGACCTGTGCTACAGGAAGCCAGCCTGCGACAATCGTCTGTGCTCAGGCCACCTCGGAGCAGGAGGGAAGTCCAGCTAAGACGCTGTTCCAGAGTCCAGTGCAGAAACGATGGTGGCTCAGACCGGCAGGGTGGGGGGATGAGATGAGGGGGTGACACATTTTGGAAACTGAAGCTACCTGACCTGCTAATGGGCTAAATGCAGAGAAGGAAGACAAGGAGGTGCCAAGGGGACCGGGGTAAATCTCTGAAGGACCACTTGAAGGGCCCGAGGGAACGGGCACTGGTGTGGGGTGGGAGGAGGGGACTCTGGGAGAGCGTCAGACTGTATGGACCCGTCAGGACCTCAGCGCTGGACCCAAGTCCAAGATACCAGTGAGACACCCAAGCAGAGAGGCGCACTGGTACCATGGACCTGGAGCTCAGACGCACGGCTGGGCCGGACAGCCGCTACGGGCAGGAGGCCTGATGATGGATTCGGAGCCCCCGCAGCGGGTGAGATGGCCTGGAGAACACGTGTCGAGTGACCAGACCCTTAGGAATCCTAGATCTAGAGGAGCTGGCAGGGGAGGCAGAGAAAGAGCTGCTCCCTCCTGCCCTCCAGCCCAAGGCCTCTGTACTGAGGGCGGAGGAGCTCTGACCGTGCCAGCCGAGACAACCGTGAGGTCAAGATCAGCAGTCAGCACTTGAAGAAGTGGATCAATTTTAGCAGGTTTGCAGACATGTTTTACTCTCACTCACCAAACCCCAAACAATCGCAGATTGGAGTCTGAGCGAGCAGGATGGGCCCATCTGCATACCCTCGGACATCATCCAGGATCTTGCAAAGACCGACCCAGCTGGCATTCACAGCATATAGTATGTGGGTGGGGGCGACATCGGCGTGAAGAATTCGGAGCGCCACTGCATTGAAAGGGACCTGGAAAACAAATGTGCATCTCGCTCCATTAATTCCACCCGAAAGACTACTTTTCCCTCTCATCAGCTGACTAGCCAGTTATCTAGGTTACGTCTGCCAAACTGCCTGCCAAAAAGTGCCTCAACTGAGCGGAAGCACTGAACCAGCCTTCACTGCTTCAGTACAGAGAACCTAAAACATACACCGAATCCCCGCACATCATCTCCATCTGCCAGAAGTCTACACCCTGTGCCAGGAACTTTCTTGTCTGAAGAGATACGTTAAGACACAAGTTTGGAAATAAGTTATGGCCAAGGGAGACCATGAAACCCCATTCACGGAGAGGTCTAAGTAAGAAAGTCAAAATTCATGCAGTGTGAGAAAGCCTCCATTCATCCCCTAATGTAACGCACTGGATTAAGATAAACGGACCGCACTCCTAGAGCGTAAAATACACAACCACCACCTTTAACATGTCACTTCCTGGGCAATTTCAAACTCTGAGAGTAGAGAGGTATTTTGTTACATATATTATTTAAATTTCAAAACCAAATTTGAAATAACAAAGGGCAGTTTAAATCCCTGGCAGATACGTTTCAAATTCAGTTATATCTCTAAGTGAGCGAAACGCCATTAAACAGACTGCCTTAGGTCCCCTTCTGGAGACGACTTGAAAGCCGAGTGCCAAGCTCGGCACCAACCCTGGGAGACACACCTGTCCGCCCGGGTCCCCACTGCTGCCTGCACGACCTCAGGCAGTGTCTCCACCTGACTGTGCCCAGTTTTCTAAGCTGTAAACAGGGGATGTACCAGCATCGCCCTCACAGGGGTGCCACGGTCACCAAGCCACTCCATGTAATGTGCTCGACAGAGCAGTGGTGCACCAGCACTCGGCACTCGCCAGGCCACACGGCAGACGGTGAAGGTCTGGGCTCTGCTGTCAGGCTGCCTGGGCCCCAGTCCCAGCCCAGATTCCTACTACGCCCCTTTGGACCAGCTGACTCAACATCCCTGGCCTCAGCTCCATCATCCGTAAAATGGAGATAACGACAGGGCCGTTGTGAGTAAAGGCGTAAACACAGGCTTAGACCAGAGTAAGCACTTAAGAAATGCTGCCTGATCTGTTCTTTCATCATCCAGAACCCTAATATTAAGGCGGTTTCATCCCCAAATAATTAAGAGCTTGGATCCCAAGATGTAAATGTAAATACTCTGGTGCCAGAATCTACTTTTGATGAGAAGGAGAGATGTTAAGAGCGCTCTCCCAGAGCCAGGCACCGCTGAACCCACGTAAC